TTCTGGACATGCTTTTCCACCCCAAAACATAAAAACTGAAAATAGGGGAGTGCGTGAATACTCACAATGTTTCGAGTAGATACAAGTAGTGCCTCGAGATGCACCAACATGTTACTACCGGGATTCTAGGAGATCAAACACACACTAGTGAGTTTCCATGTCGAAATCTAATGTTAATATACTAACTTCTACATATAGTGAAATGCCAATTTATGTTTTACTATTGGAATTTATATTAATTGGTTACACTTTTTCTAAAATAATGAAATTCTACAAGTCGTGCCATTAACTACAACTTTGGAATATTAATTTTCCAGATTTAGTAATATAAATTAAAGGTATTTCTACACATTTAAAAGTGTTTTATATTCCTAAAAATGTAAAATATTATCAAACAGTTTCCAAAAATTGTCAAACCTTGTATTTTCATTGTAAATACAATAGAGGTTTTCCAGAAAAATTTCCTTGAATTTTTAATATGGTTAACTATTTTTCAAATTTTTAAGTCTTCTTAACAACATAAATTCACGAAAAATAGCATTCAAATGATAAAAATTCTCAAATTTTTTATTTTACTGTTATTACACAATACTAAGTTGGGAAAAATATAAAAATGGATTTCCAAGCTGTTTAATTATATTTTATGATTTTTGAGCATTTATTGCAATAAAAATTGAAATAAATAGAAAACAGTTTCCAAAATTACCCAAACTTTTCATTTAACTGTTATTATACATAGCTAGTCTGGAAAAAATTAAAAAGATATTTTTGAGTGGGTATTTCTATATTTCCTTGTTTTATTCCTTTAAATAATCATTAATTGAAGAATAAATATTAAACAGTTAAAATAAATTACCAAAAATTTTTGTGACATCATTTAGAATGTAATTAATCTGGGAAAAATACCAAAAGTGGTTTTCATATTGTATAATCCGGTTTTGGGTATTTATGTGTATTTATGTGTATTTTTGTGACATCGCGCTTTTTCAAGCGCCGTTTCAGTGATCTCATTATTATCATGACGATTCTTTCTCTCTCCTGGCAACGGTATATAAGGAGTTTCTAATTCTATTTGTCTCTTTCACCTGCAACAAACTCTCTCTATATACACGGCGATTTACAACTGCTCATCTTCTTCTTTAACTCAACAATGGTGACTTCTTCATCGGCTGACAATCAAACTGCTTCGTCCACATTGATCTAGATCAATCCAAACCAGAACATGATCATCGAACTCAACCCTTTTTTGTATGATTTGTATATGCTACAAGTGGTTGAGTGTTTGAAGTATTCACCTTTGGTTTTAGCCCTAACACAGGTGGAATCCATCCTAATGTCACTCCTATCACAAGTCTACACTACCGCTTCGTATGATAAGAACAAGGAAAGGATCTACTTCCAAATCTTCTCTCACAAGGCTTCGATTTCAAAAGGGAGATTCATTTGTGATCTCACCGGACTTCATCACCACTACTCAACTATCATCGATGCTTTACGAGATGGGCTACACTGATGTGCTTACCACAGTTACGAAGGGCAAGCAGTCATGCTTACCGCCCAAATGGAATAGATTGCTTACTCTTCTCATCAAGAGTTTGGCGGAGAGGAGTGGTGGGTTTGATGGTACCAGCAAAGGTTTTCTGACCGATCCCCGATCCCCTACTCCAACTGAACCTCTTCATGCCAAACTTCCAACGCCACCTCCATCACCAAAATAGATAGTTCCTATTTCAGTTGCTCATGTTCCCCCACCTACCACATCTCAAACAACAACTTTTATTCCACTACCGCCACCAGTTACTAACATTCCTATTTCTACAACTCCAATCCCTCCTCCTATTATTTCCCAATCAACTTCCACTACTATCCCAGAATCGAAAGTAAGAGTCAACGTATCTGATACGGGGTGACTACTGAGACTAAACCTCCAGTTACTTCCAAACCACTTTCACCATCACCTTCAACCGATTCCGGTGCCACTCTTGGTGGTGCTACTGATGAGTTTGATTCGATCTACTACAGTCCCTATAGGCTTCCTACAGATGATGATGATGAAGCTCCAGTCACACGCCAACAATTGTAGAACATTGATGAGAAAGTTGATAAATTGCTTCATGCCAACAAGTCCTACAATGATGTTATGCTCAAAGCTTTCTTGGATACTACTCTTGAGCAATATACTGAGTCAATTGACAAATCCACAAAGGTTGTTAATGAGTCTACTTCTTCTTGCAAGAAGGCCACTACTGACGTTGCAGAAATTGTTCGCAGTACTCAGATCTTTCTTGAGTCACTCAAAGGGAATGTTGATACCAGTGCAGCCAAGGTGAATGCCTTTGTGGATTCCTTATCCAAGTTCATTCAAGCGGAGCACACAAAGTTTGAGGCTGTTCGTTCTTCAATACAAGCAGAGAACACTTCACTTATCAGTTCTGTGAATTCTCAGTTTGAATCTCTTCACGGTGATTTAGCAAAGGAGAGTGCTATAAAAGAAGATTTTGCACGCCAAGCCTCCACAATTGAAGTTCCGAAGGTGTAGCTCACTCAAGCTAAAAAAGAAATTTCTTTGTTGAAGACGGAGAGAGTTGTCTTTCGTAACTGTGCTGGGGATGTCAAGGATATGCTGACCAACCTCCTTGGTGCTCATGATCCTATCCTTACTTTGACTATAAGGAATCATCTAAATTCAAAACTTCTTCTTGCCCTTGCATTGTTACACGAGATGAAGGGTGTTTCGTAGAGATTTATATCTCTAAAACAAGGGGGAGAAAGTGCTCAACCAAAGGTTATTGTGAAAACCGAAACCGAATCTGCCCAACCGAAAGTCAATGCTACAACCGAACCAAAGGGTAATGAAGCTTCCGGTTATAGTTTTCAAGCTAAGGGGATTGATGATGATAGTGATGATGAAGAAGAAGAAGAGAATATTGCTGACGCCCTTAAACGAAAGAAGAAGGACAGAGAGTTGGATAAAACCTTGAGAGTTGCAAGGGAGGCTGAGGAAAGGGAAAGGAGGAACAAGGAAGAAGAAGAAGCCTTAAACTGCAACAAGGCATTTTTCCCCTCTGGACAAAAGAAACACTTATCAATGAGGCAATAGAGTTTCCAAGCATCTACTGGCTGGAACCTATCGCTTCTTTTGATTGTGACAATTCTAAGGACTCATAGTTCGACATGCCGATAACACGAAAGGCATTCCCGTTTCATTGTTTTGATTCGACAGTTGAGGTTCCTTTCCCTCATCTAAAAGTTGATCGTGAGCTTATCGACTTTTATCTGAAGTATGGCCAACCATAGTACTAGACATGGTGCACACAGAAGATAGTTACTATCAAGGTACTAAAACCTTCTCCTGCTAGGAAGTTCATAAATGTTAATTTCAAAATCACACGAGGATCAGCAAACTCGGTGTCAATTATTTTCGTAGCAGATCTTCTAAATTTAAATCCTCATGACTACATCCTATTGTTTAACATTTTGCTCACCAATCCGAAAGAATATGAGCCGATATTGGATCATTTGAAGAGGATGTTGGCCTCTTACATCCATGAGGTTACTGCTATGGATCAGGAGATAGCGAAAGTGATGAACAAGAAACCGAATGTCAAGCTAACACCGAAACCAGGAGATGTGAACAAAATCAAGATGGGCCAAATCGATTCTACACATCTTACTGTGATGTTCAAAAGAGTCGAAGCCAATCGTTTTCTGTTCGCTCTTGCTGATAAACATTTATTCTTAACTGACTTCTTGGAGTACATTATCAATATTATCCATCGGTGCAAGCAGAATTCAGAAGTAGACAAGAAGAACTTCACGGACATGCTTCGGTGGTACATTACGTTTTGGCATCATCTATTGGCCATCATACCGAAGGTGTTCAAGACAATCAAGAAGTCTTCTGCAACTCAACTGAAGTGAGCTTTCGGCTCCATTGATGCAAAGGGGGAGATTGTTGAGTCTTGTTATGTTGCGTCATGGGCTTGTGTTTTGTATCCGGATTGGGTCTGTCCATCCGTGATTGTCTTGTAAGGGTTTACTATAAATAATGCATGCATGTATGCATTAGAGAGGTTCGTGATTATCATTAATTATTGTTTTGTAACCCTAAGCACCTCTACAGTCGAAGTTCTTAATCGAGCTCTTCTAAGGAGTTGAAGTTTTAATCATACGACATATTTAAAGCTATTCTTGTGTTCATAATTACGTTCTTAATTGTTTGCCTACATAGAATCTATCGATCCTAATAGAACTTTGTTCTAACAGGAATGGTGATCGACAAGGATGAAACAATGATCGACTACGTCAAACGATGATCAGTGACTTTTTTTTAAAACTTCGATGATTGGGTAACACGGAATACGACATATTTTTGCATGACGAGACTGGATCTTAGTTAGCTACGCAATACGCACAACCCAAGTGACTATTCATTTCCTGGGTTGGTCTTTTTGGCTCGATTAAACCTTTACTTTGGTAACCCGAACCAAATAACCCAAAACCGAATTGGGAAAAAATAGATACCCAATAATCGACCCAAATAACTTATTAGGTCTAGGTTTCGATTTCAGTTCGGATATTCGGTCCAAACGTACATCCCTATTTTGGATCCCATCCAATGGTTTTTGCAAACCACAAGGATCAAATTTACAGTTTTGTCTAAAATTAATAATTTCATACTAACCTGTTGTATAATTTGGTTCCTATTATAAAACATCATTTCTTATATTCTATAAAAAGTGACATTGTTGCATCAATTGGAAAAACTACTAAATATTATTTAATAAATAAGTAATTATATTCTTAAATAAGATTTAATTTTTATAAATATAATATATATAGTCAGTTTGGTGGGTTGACCCGTAAATTCAAACATATAACCCAACCTAACCCATGAAATAAACGGATTATCAGGTTCAATGGACAAAAATCTCAACCCTATGCATTCTATTACGCCTATGTCGGTACTTCTACCTTTTCAAAAGCAACACCATTATTCACAACACTTATGCAAATCTTTATTAGCAACATCGTTACATTCCCATTTAAGATACAATTACATATTTTTTTAATAAAGCTTATTAAATTTCTATTTTAACGTATATGTTTTATAAGAGCAAATGTATAAGCATCTTATGTTCACAAAGTTACATCTTAAATTTCACAATTAACTTAACCAAATCTCTTGAAAACACGAATATCCAATGGACCATCGATGTGAAGATTGATTGAGGTTTTGTACCTTGGTATCCTGTTTACGTCACTTAACTTGAACACAAAGCAACCTAACAAGATAGAAGAAAATATTTTCATCTGCATATATGCGAAATCTCGACCCAAACAAGTTCGTGGTCCAGCCTGTGTATGAAAAATATGAAAAAAAATATATATAAGGATTAATTATACAATGAAAATGTACATCAACATGTACTAAATACAAACTTTTAAAAAAAATACTCCATTACGAGAGTTGTTCATACATGGGATTAAAACAAGAGAATTTAGCATTTTCAAATAACATGAAAAAATAAAAGAAAAGACATGTGATATGTGATGTAAGCTTACTATAATAAACATATCTTTTTTATATTATTATTTGTAATTTCTTATCTACAATTCAATGGGATAATGTAATGATGAGATTCAAAATTATTCTCTTCTTATTTTGAGAATATATTAGACACGATTGATTGGAATAATTTTTGTTTGAATTAAAACATATCAAAAGAATTGAAAAGATACAAAAGGGGCCATAGACACAAGGTATTGCCTCGACACAAGGTATGTGGTGCCTAATCCAAGGTCTACAGTGCTCAGTAAAATAGCTAAAATATAGTATGTAATGCTCTAGTGGAAGGTATGTGGTACTACACTATAGCTTGTGGTGTGCATCCAGAAAGCTTATTCAAATATTGGTATCTATGGTTTGTTGACACCGACACACAAGTGGGTTTTAGGTCAATTTTTCATTATACATAAAATTTACATATACATTTATAACCCTAAACATAATGTATGTATTACGGTTGTGTATTTCCTATAACTCTAAATATCTTTCTACTACGTTTGTGGATTAGTCGATCATTTTGATCCTGTGAACGATGTAATTTCCTTGTGTTATTGGTTTTTTATTTATCATGTGAGTTGTGTGTTTATCGATTCTTGATCTTAACAATTTTATTAGTGCTATGACAGGTGATGAAAAGGTTAAAGATCAATATATTTTGATTTCACAATGTTGGCATTTGGCATATGTAGACCAAAGATTATATCTATTAGAAGAAGTTATGTAAACCCTTGTGCAAAAACAAACATGAAGCGGTGAAGAAGGAGGATTGGAACCTGTTTTTTATCAATAGGATCTTGGTGTTCATAGGTTGTCATTAGCGAACAATGTTGTGTATAACATTGTGAACGAAAAGACAAAATTGGTATTGATCAATGTGTTTCAAATATGTACAAAAGGCGCTTGGTTGTGAATATCATTTTCTTGGTTCAACAGTTGATAAATATAAAGGTGAGGAAGGTCGATCAGTTACAAATCATGTAAATAAATATAATCTGTTCCTATCTAGGTTAGTATCAATTGAGTTTCAGTTTGAACTACTAAGATTACTTTTGAAAAGATTTGCAATTTAATCCTTGGTGAGTATATCCGTATAAAAGATTCATGCCGTCTTCCAACAATCCATTAAGTACAAAGGACTAAGGAATTATAATCCAATATAGGGGTTAATGGTAGAGGAATAAAAAAAGTAATGAAGAGATGTCGGTCTAAAAATAAGAAGTATATTTGATTTTGGAATTGTATAGAGAATAGTTACTTCAAAAACCAATGTCAAAACTTTTATAAATAAAGGCAAGAGGGAGATGAATATGGCAGCAAATTATGAGGATCCTTTAATTTTTTAGTTTAGAAAGTTTGATTGAATCTGAAATTTTGAATTTGCATGCTTCGTTTCATGTTATCCATTGAAGAGTAGTGATGTATAATTTTAGGCTTTATAATGGGAAGGTGAGGCTAGTGTATAACAAGCACATTTATGTGACAAATTTTGGGGATATAGTCCTTTACACTAATCTAGGTACGAATTAGAAAATGAAGAATGCCACATATATTCAAGTCATAAAGATTAATTTTGATATCAGTAGAGTACTTGCATGATAATGTGCATAATGTTGACTTTAATGACTAATTGTAGATGGTAACGGAGAATAACCTAGTGGTTACTCAAGGACATAAACAAGAAACATTATATATAGTTGAATTTCCATAGATGTAAAAAATATAATTACTGAATAGGCAACACAATATACTCTACTAACCAAAGACTTGGGCATATGAATGAGAAAGAGATGAATATGCTACCTTCAAAGGGGGAAACTCCACATTTCAAGAGTAAGAGAGTTAACTTTTGTGAGCCATGTTTTCATGAAAAACAAAAGAAGGTTAGATTTGCGAAAATGGAACAAACACCCTAGCAAGGGAAGTTCAGGAAGTAGTAGGTGATTGTGAAGGATCTACATATACATGGATCATAAAGGATAGTGGGAGTTTAGACACTGGAGCAACAAATAAGGTAGAGACCAAAACTCCCACCACCATAAGATGTAGTAGAGAAAGAAGATATTAGTCACATATTCTATTTCATCAAATTAATTGTTTATGAAAGAGAATAAGGATTCAAAATATTATCTAGAGACTCTGAGGATAAAAGAATTCGTATAGTGGAAGAACACAATTGAGGGTGAGTTGTGCTTATTTAACTAAAATCAAAATTAGTCATTTTTTAATTTACCATCTGGGATGAAAGAACTACAAAACAAGTAGTTATTTAGGGTAAAAGGTGAAATATATGGAAATAAGAGGTGCAGGGCCATATTTGTAGTCAAATGTGTCAACAGAAGATGAGATTTTACTACAACAAGATATTCTCTCCAACTGTAAGGACCGCCATAATTATATAGGTTCTAGGTATTATAGATGCATATTGTTTACATAAGGAAATAATAACCCTAAATAAAATATATTGTATTGAGAGATTGACAAAGATATCTCCATGGAACAACTAGAAGGCTTTCAGATAACTAGAAGACAAAATGCTACATCTAGGTTGAAGAAATGTTGTGGAAAAAAACTCCATGACGCTACTAACTGAATCATATTATTTATGATATCATAATGAAGGATATTTTCCCATAATGAAACATAGTGTCTATTCAGAAACAAACAAGGTATAAAAGAGGTAGTACAAAAGAGAAGAGAGGGAGAGAGAGAGAGAGAGAGAGGAGAGAGAGAGAGAGAGAGAGATAGAGAGAAATCCAACCGTTAGTTCTGATATCATTTTGAAGGATATTTTCCCATCATGAAATTCTACTCACAAAATCAATCATATATACAAATTACATATGCATGTGGGCTATACATAATGGAATATATATATATATATATATATATATATATATATATATATATATATATATATATATATTGAATATACATTACAGCCCCACCTACGCTTAGGTACTAAACCTCTAAAATATGTCGTTTTAACATGCTAAATATACCTGGTTTGGTTTCACTTGGTAAATATATCATTCTCCATAGCATTTCTTTCTTTCATTATCGTTTTATCATCTCCGTTTTCATTCCTCAATTATCGTTTATTACTTCATCCAAGTGAACATTACTAAACCCTAAACCTAAACCTAAACCTAAACCCTAAATTTAAACCCTAAACACTAAAGCTAAACCCTAAACCCTAAATCTAAACCCTAAACCCTAACCCTAAACCGTAAACCCTAACCCTAAACCCTAAACCTTAACCCTAAACCCTAAACCCTAAGCATAAACCTAAACCCTAAACCCTAAGCTCTAAACCCTAAACCCTATTGTGTCGATCTTGAATTTACATCTTGAAGTATTAATCGTGAATCCGTTAACCGTAATCTTTATATAGTAAAACAATATATTTTCAAGAGGTTTAGTACCTAAGCTTAGGTGGGGCTGTAATGTATATTCCCTTTTCCCATATATATATATATATATATATATATATATATATATATATATATATATATATATATATATATATATATATATATATATATATATAGGGAAAATAACTTAAAAGCCCAACGAAGTTTCCAAACCGTTTTCCAAAAAAAAAACCCAACAAACTTAACATTTTATCTAAAAGCCCAACTAAGTTACACTTTTTCGAAAGTCAAATAAGGAAAACAGATGACGTGGCTTATTACCGTATTGGAAAAATAACTTGTTAGACCAACGAAGTTTCCAAAACGTTTAAAAAACTCCAATCATATTTTGACTGTTCAAAAAAAAAACTCAACGAACTTAAACAAAACAAAATTGGAATTTTCTGAACGGTTTAAAACTTTGTTGGACTTTTTAGATAAAAGGTTAGGTTCGTTGGGTTTTTTTGAACAGACAAAACATGATTGAAGTTTTTTTGAATGGTTTGAAAACTTCTTTGGGCTTTTAAGTCATTTTCCCATATATATATATATATATATATATATATATATATATATATATATATATATATATATATATATATATATATATATATATATATGTGTGTGTGTGTGTGTGTGTGCGCGCGCGCGCGTGCGTGCAAGATAAAGAGAGAAGTAATTATGAAATACAATTGAGATAAAAAAAATTTCGTGAATTTTTTTTTTTAATTTAAAAGGTTAGCCCTTTTATAGTTTGAAATTACACTAACCTGAAAAGCTGTAAATTTAAAGGGGTTCTCTGGATGGAAATTCCCATTTTCATCAAGCCATCTTTTTGGTTTATACTCATGTGCATCATCTCCCCATATGAATTCCATCCTTCCCATTGCATATGGCAAATATGCTACTACATCCCCTTTCTTCACATGATAACCATCAGGCAGAACATCGTCTGAAAAACATATCTTTGGGTCCTATATAAAAAATTATAAGCATGTCAATGCCATTTTACCTAGCAACGAGTTGGTATAAAATATTGATTTCATTAACAAATAAATAAAATGACGATACATGGAGAGACATATTCAGCCTGATAGTGTCGTGTGTGGCTGTGCAACCTTTAACATAAAAAAAATAAAGTGCCTCTACACAATTGGTTTATGAGCATATTTTTTCTTGTAAGAAAAATATTGTTTCACAACTCAACACATGACAAATTGAGATACTGGTTCCTGAAGGCTTGTACTGATTAGAACTCAAAATATGATAATTTAAACATGTGTTGAAAAACATCCCATACCAATGGCAAAGCAGGATAGAGTCTGATAGTTTCTGTCAAAGCTGCATGAAGATATTGCATTTTTTTTAACGCACCCTCACTCACATAAGCTGCAAAATCTACAATGTTTTTTATTTCCTCTTTCACTTCGGTTGCTTCTTTGATATCCTTTGCAACCTTCTCTTGAACTTGTGGATGTTTGCAAAGCAAGTAAATAAACCAAGACATAGTAAGCCCTATAGGATCTTTACCAGCAAGTACATAGTTAAGTATTATATCTCGTAGGTACTTTGGGTCTTTATATTTCAACTGCAAAAACCTCGATAGGATGTCTTCATTCCTCGATTCAGTTAGCTGTAAATCAATAGCCAGATGAAATAATTGAAATTAGATGAGTAGTAAAATTATAAATGTATAATCTAATTGTAATTTAATTCCATGCATTCTTTCATTAATGTCAAGTGTACATATGTAATTAGTAATTCTAGTTGCCATTATATATATATATATATATATATATATATATATATATATATATAATATATATATATATATATATATATATATATATGAGCAAAGTGAATATACCTAACAACCTTATATAAGCTTAGGTACCTAATCTCATTAAACTACATCATTTTCCATTAAATTTCCATTGCAATCATCTAAGGTTCTTAAACTTCATCACTAAACTTGATTTACTTCAAAAAAAATTGGAAATTCACCATTATATTTATCCTATATCATTTCATTTGTAGCGGTAGGATATGAAGCCCATCAGGCGGTATTCAATAGAAAGATGTGGTGTAAAAGAAAAATATTGGTGAAAGTCCAAAGATTTTGGAAGTAATAAAGTTATGGGGTTAAAGTTTAAGAACCTTAGGTCATTACAATGTAAACATGATACAAACCAATTTGTATTATGGAGTTAGGTACCTAAGCTTATATAAGGTTGTTAGGTATATTCACTTTACCCTATGTATATATATATATATATATATATATATATATATATATATATATATATATATATATATATATATATATATATATATATATATATATATATAATAAAGGAAACATTTTTCCTTTCACCACATTCATTTGAAACTCCTATAACTTTTCAATTTCTTTCAAATAATAATTATAAGTTGCTTAATAAGGTTAAATAAATATCAAATCTAAAGTGTAATCATATATAAACTAAATTTCAATATTAAAATAATATATTTACTTCTACTTATAAAGTTATGTTTTTTAACGTTTAACATATTATATATATAATTTATTAGTTTTAATCTATTGTTATATGTAAATCATTATCATTTTAAAGAGACAATTTTGGAACAATTTGTATAATATATATAAATTATTAGTTTGAATATAACATTACAAGGTCAACTTAAATATCAAGTGATTAATTGTAGTATCTTTCTAATAATGATTATAAGTTGGTTAATAATGTTAAATAAATATCAAACTTAAAGTGTAATCATAAATATACTAAATTTCAATTGTAAAATAATATATCTACTTCTACTCATAAAGTTATGTCTTTAACTTTTAACATATTATACTTAGTTTATTAGATTTCATATGTTAATGTATGTAAACCATTATCAGTTTAAAGCTACAACTTTTGAACAGTTTGGGAAAAAAAATTAAAATTTTAATTTAAATATAACTGTAAAACCTCGTTTATTTATTAAATAAATTAATTAATGAATGAATGGCTCGTAGCCCTAAAACAAATAATTATATATGCAGGGTATTGGTTTCGAGGAGTTAATTCGCACAATTCAGAAGTTGGGTGTTAGAAATGTAAAATATGGCTCTTTGTCGAATTGAATTGGAGCTGGAGGGACCATTTTGGTCATTATGGCAAAATAGTATGAGGAGTCGGTATATAAGGGTATGAAACCCTAACCCTAGCCTCATTTGTTCGGCCGCCAACTTCATCTACACTCCCCTTCACCTTCCTCGGCGTCGCACCACTCATCTCCTCCGATTCCGAGCTGCCATTGACCTCGTTCATTCTCCAGCCGCCAAAAACCACCACGATGCCACACCGTCGCCCAGCTACCATCCACTTGGTAATGGAGACGGGAACACCGAAGACCATCGTCGTGCCTGTAAGTTGTGGTGCCCAGATGCGCTTCATCTCTTCTTTTCATGTTCGCTTTCAACCGCATTGACAGTGTCACTAGGGCTGTCGAGAGCTACCACTCCAAACAGTTGTGGTGAGACGTCGTTGCCACCGCTACCTCCGACCTATGGCGCCACTGTTACATTCTTCTTCTTCTTCTTACTCTGCCTATCGTCATTGCTTTATCTCATCACCACCAGCCACCATGGGTGGTGGCTGTGAGCTCGTGTGGGTGTGTGATGTCGCTTCAAGACTCGTGTGGCTGCTAGCTTGCTGCCACCGAAAACGACCTTATGAAGGCCACCTTTCGTTGTATGCTGCCGCCTACCACCGTTAACCGTCGCTGCCTTCGCAAACTGCCGCCATCTTGCGCTTTCTCCTCCTCGTATGCCGCCAGGTGGGTGGCTATGCTACTGTTTCGGGGAAAAGTGTGTTTATTTCAGTGAAATGGGGTGGTTTGTTTGGCCAGAAATCGTAAGAGCTGCTACTGCCACCACCGTGAGGTGGTGGCTGCCGCCATGAACCACCATTGTGTGTGTTTATGTTATTAGTGTGTGTATTTTAGTGTATGTGTGTGTGGATAAATGCGGTATTTCACATTGTAATTGTAACAAAAAAAAAGGAATAATGAAAAGAACTTGAAAACCACCACCTTATGGTGGTGGCTCCCACCACCGGCCGCAGTGTCGGGTAGCGGTGCGCTTTGCCTCTTGTGACTGATTCGTTTGGGGTGCTAGAAACCCTAATGGGCTCAAAGGAGCTCTAATGGGACCAATGAAGCTTAATGGATTCTAATGGACCCAATAAAACCCTAATGGGCTTAGTAATATTTTAGTGGGCTTAATAGGCCCAATAAAGCCCTGAATGACATAAAAGGCCAACAAATTGATAAATGGGCTAATATTTGGATTGGAAAACCCTAATGCCAATGAATCCCTAACTTTAAGAATCAATCGGGTCACACACACGAGAATTATTTAATAACTTGAGATATTAAATAATAATCATTGGCAAACTAACATAAGGCATAATGGACTTAATGGATTAAGTCCTTAATGGGTTAAGAAAGAAACACCGAACCCTAATCATCATTTCATGTGAAAACTCTAGTTTAGGATTATGGGCTTGGACTTATCGAGACCCACTTTTGGGCCATTGGAATGGAATTGTGTGATTAATCCCAATCACACCATATGACTTATTTAGAAGAATGATGGACTTAATGGATTAAGTCCTTAGAGGAATAATTCCTTAATGGGTTAAGTAGGAAACTTAAGCCTAATCGGTATTTTTATGTGAAACCCTAACTTCACTAGGGTTTATTTTTGGGCCTTTCTATTGGGGCCTTGATGATTGGATTAATAATGGGCCATCCAAGAATAATTATATGGACTAAAATGATTTAATGGGTCTAGGGTAAGTCCCATGTAAGGGGTTGGGCCCAATTTGGAAAATTGGGCCATAGATGGACCATAGTTGGGCCTTAATGATTGTATGATGTTAGGCCTTAGAATAAGACCATGTATAGGCCTGGGCCTAATTTGGAAAATCGGGCCATATGTTGGGCTTTGATTTCCTAGTGGACTTTGGGCCTAAGGATTGGGCCTTGGGCTTGCATAAAGTCAACCTTGGGGTAATGTAGTAACTATCCAAGTGAGTATCTATGACTATGTGTTGGGACCCAATTATTAATTGGGTGTTATTTTTGTGTTGCCAGTTCGTGAATTTGTCATCTAGCAGATTGGGTGAAGTCTGTGGGACTTCAGCAATGTGGGGTTATGTCTACGGGACTTTAGCAGTATGAGGTGAGTTACCTTCCGGTAGTGGGGGGTCTAAGGCTACAATGTCGGCCTACCAGTAGGAGATGTATGATAGATGATTGTCTTTATGATATCATCTAGGTTTGCTACTACCTGATATGTTCTATGCTAGCATGATATGTTGTATATGATAGTAGTAGAGTTTAGTTGTCAGGACCGAAGGGTAGTCAGACACCCCAGATACGTCTGACAATATGTGATGATATTTTTGCATGCTGGCTTGTTATGTTGTATGCGATAGAGGTAGTAGGAGGGGACCAGTCCCCGAGTTCGGTTGTTAGGACTGAAGGGTAGTTCATGCACCCCATATATGTCTGATATTATGTTTGTGTTATGTTATATGTGATGGTAGTAGTAGGGGAGAAATAGTCCCTAGTATCCGGTCGAGAGGACCGAAGGGGAGGCCAGCTCCCAGACATTCTAGTCAGCATCCGGTCGAGAGGACCGAAGGGGAGACCAACACCCAGATATGCTAGTTAGTATCTAGTCGAGAGGACCGAAGGGGAGGCCAGCTCCCAGATAGACTAGTTTGTATCTGGTCGAGAGGACCGAAGGGGTAGGCTGGGCACCCATATATGCCTGACAAAAATATGTATGTCATGTG